AACAAAGGTAATCTGAGCAAATCTGGAGTCCTGGAACTCCTGGAATCTGGAAATCTAGGCAATCTGAAATTCCTGGAAGTCTGGAATTCATGGAACTCCTGAAAATCTAGGCAATCCTGGAGTTCCTGGAAGTCCTGGAGTTTTCGAAAATCCAGGAATTCGCGGAAGTCCCGGAATTCCAGGAAGTCCTGGAGCTCCCGGAAGTCCCGGAATTCCAGGAATTCCCGGTAGTCCCAGAGTTCCTGGAAGTCCCGGAATTCCTGGAATTCCCGGTAGTCCCGGAGTTCCCGGAAGTCCTGGAATTCCCGGTAGTCCCGGAGTTCCCGGAAGTCCTGGAATTCCCGGTAGTCCCGGAGTTCCCGGTAGTCCCAGAATTCTGGAAATTCCCGAAAGTCCGGGAGTTCCCGGAAGTCCCGAAATTCTCGGAAGTCCTGGAATCCCCGGAAGTCCCGGAGTTCCGGGAAGTCCAGGAATTTTAGGAATTTCCGGAAGTCCTGGTGTTCCCGGAATTCCAGGTAATCCTGGAAATCTAGGCAATCCTGGTATTAGTTGAGAGTAGGTTAATGGCATCAACGTTGTAATCCATGTAACTATAAACAATACTATAATGCTTTGTTGAGCCTTGCTTGACATGCTTGATTGGAGTTATGTTCCGACGGAAAAAGAATTGGTTGATGAAGAGAAGGCTAATGGGATGAATGGTTGAAACAAAGGGAGTTGGTGTTTATATAATAGTGATTTTAGGTTTTTAATTAGTATTTTTATTAATAAAACCCCCCAAACCATAAATTTTCTTTACTGTTATCTTTTAATTAAACCATTAGGTAAGTGGTTACTAATTAAGCCATTAATTTTGGATTTAAATTTTAACATTTTATTATATATATTTAAATACTATAAAAATTATTAAAAATGACTTAAATTATTGTGGATAATTACTCATGGTGTTTAAAATTAGAAAGTATAATAAATTTGAATTTTAAAATATGTTTTTAATAATATGTTTTTTTTTAAAAAAATAATGCATTAATTAATTAAGTAGTGCAAATATCACATTGGGTAATGTCTCCCGAACATGGAAATGATGAACAGAGCTTGACAGTCGGCCGAGTTCGTGGGCTATAACATTACAATCATGCCTGCCCAACTGATATTTATATCCGGTCTCGAAGTTAGCATTTCACAGCAATCAGTAAGAATAAAACTATATTCCGAGTTATCATTCTCATTGCGGGATAAAATTTTATACACCTTCTGAGCGTCGACTTCAACAATGCCTACACCTTGGACTTGGTGAAGTAAATACTAAATTGCATTCCTACAGCCCAATAATTTGGCCAGCGAACGGCGATGTGCAGTTCCTCAAGACAACAGTAAATGCAACTAGTGCCTCACCCTCAGAATTACGAATAATTCCCCTATACTAGAATCCTACGTAAAAACATCAACATTACATTTCCAGTAGCCCGCATCAGGGGCTTGCCACGGGGGTGTAGTTTCCGGGCTCCTTATCTGGCTCTCTAGGCCACTCTTATGAATTGAGCGTGCTTGCTACCAAGCGCGGAGGAATTTGTGGATCAATTGAACCGTTGTTGGGGCCATCTATAACTTCTCCGACCACATCACTTCATTCTTTTCCAGCCATATACGCCATAGCCCACAGAATATTTCCTCAATCTCCTTCTTAGTGCGGGAGCTAACCAGCTGTGTCACCTAACTCTGCATATCCATGGAATGACCTTCGGGGACCCAAATTCCTAGGTGCGCCTAACATCTTCGTGCCCTTTCACGGTAAAAAAAAAAACATGATGTGCCGACTCTGCACTGCCCCACTGAGCACTTGTTGTGTCTACATCTATGCCTTTCTCTTTCAATTGTGATTTCACCGGAAGGTTACAATTAAGAAGCCTCCACATAACGTTTTTTCACTTTCGCCTGGATGACCGCACTCCACGCTAACTTCCAGATATTTGGTCCGTCCGCATCATTCTTTTCACATACCTCATGCTGGCAATTGTATGACGATTGCACTGTATAATTGCCATCCAGCACATATTCGGTCACCCATCACGCTTCGAGCCCCACAAAAAGTTGTTCATCATTTTCTGGAGTTCATCGCACGGTCCAACAGGCAACTTAAGACCCCCATACAGAAAGTTGGGAGTGATTGTGCAACTGATTTCAGTAGTACTTCCTTCTATGCTTTCGATTCTAAACCCACCTATGGCTAAATCAGAGCCAAAACACCAGCCAATTAGCCAGAAAACACCGCCGAAGCCCAATGTCGCTGCCGCGGGTTTTTTCAGTTTTTACCTCCGATGAAGCCCTTCCCAATTCCCACTCGATGTAATTTTTACACCATTATGACCATCGTTCCTTCCTCTACAGGTTGACTGGAGTAAAACACCAAATTGCGACTCGAGCCGGCGGAGCCACTGCACCGGAGAGCCCTGCCGCCGATAAGTTTCGATTTTCGATATTTTTTCAGCCCACCGAGGGCCCTATGGGTATTTTATCACAGGAACTAATACAAGTTTGGCCGAATTCGGCCGAAAACGGTCGAAAACAACTAACCCAAGGCGGATCACCGCCATGACGGAATTTCAAAATTGGTCGAGTAGACCCTGAATGTGATTTTGAGTTATTTGGGGACATGTGCAGGTACTGTAAGTGCGTTTCAGTTCCCAAAAAAAAAAATTCAGGGAATCTAGGGACTACCCGTAGGCGCAGTAAAAAATCGATTTTAGACTTCGAATCAAGTAAGGTTCTCTCACCCTATTTCCTATCGTGGAATTAAAGTTCAATTGAATGATAAAACTGTATTTTATGAATTATATAGATACACGTAATTACTTAAGGTTGCTAATGGAGCCCGAATCTGATATACTTTTCGGTCAGTTCCTGTTTTATTTATTTTATGGTTTTAAATGCGTTACGATAGGTGGCTTATTTATTCTATGGTTTCGGATGCATGAATCACTGTTTACTTCACTGTTGCTTGGTTTCGTGGATTTAGTGTATGCTTGCCTCGTTGAATGCACGTTACTTGTTTAAGTGTTCACATTTATGTGAGAAATAGAAAACTAAGAAAAGAATGGAAAAAGGTATGTGAATTGATAAATGGATAAGTTGATAGTCTCACTAGATATCCTGAGAGATGGTGGACGGACCAGCTCCATAGGGAACCCTATCGGGAACGTTGTCTCATACCGGATGAGGTATGAAGACTTTAAATGTTTTGGCACCCATACCGAACGGGGTATGGGGACGGCTCTGGAATTAAGTTATTTAACTTAATGTTTCACGTGTAGCGGGGACCCCTATGGATCCCCATTGATACTGGTAGGCTGATAAAAGAGGAAAATTATTGTTTGATGATTGAAAAATAAAAGTATGACATGTGCTATGTTACAGAGTATGTATGAATTCATGATATCTTTGATGTTATTGTTTCTATGGGTCATTTTCATAAATCTCACCGAGGTAAGTGGATAGTAAATGGTTTTATTATTGATTAATGAATTTGTTAAAAATTGTACTCCATTGGTCGTTTTTGTTTTTCTACCAACCTTTACTTTTGTGACAGTGATATAGTGTGACATCCTTACTTAACTATTTCATATAAGGAGGACTTGGTTCACGAGCCCATTCCGCAGAAAGACGGCAAGTAGATGCCTAAATATTTTATAGTTTTCTTTATAGTATTTCATTTCTAGTATTTCCTATAGTTAACTTATTCTTTCATATTGTTAGTACATTTCGGTTATTGTGTAAGGGATATTAGTCAGAACTTTTTATTTCGCTTCCGCACTCAAAATTTATATATACATTTCCTTTTGAATTTTCGGGGTTGTTACACCAATTAATTGACAAAATTTTGTATAGTAAGCCTACCATGATATCTTTTTTTCCTAATTAGACGAATGTGCATTAAACAAAGACTGAGTCTTCATACTAATTTAAAGAATTAAAGCTTCATTATAACAAAATAAATTCTCACCTTGCTTTTTGATCAAGCATATTCTTTGTTTACTAATACTTCATCAAATCAGATTGACACTATAAAAAGAATTTGCATTACTCATTGAAAATAAAAAATTCATACTAAGATGATTTAGAAGTTTTTAATTCACTAAGAGAATTACTTTGAACATTCACTGTAGAACCTAAAAATTTATGTTTATCTTTATGGATTTTATTGGTTCTTATTCTACACTAAAAGGATTTAAAAAAAAAATTTATCCAATTAATAGAGAAAATTATATATACTAAATCTTTCATGATACCATTTTTTCCTAATTAAATGCATGACTTCATTGATTATGGATTACTCTCTTCAAGCTGCATTAAGAAGTTTTTCTACACATGTATATGTATGTATGCATATATATTATTACTTGATGAATAGAAACAAAATAGTTGTTTTTCTTCCTTGTTCACAGTACAGATGTTTGTTTGAGTTGATTAAAATAATAATAATAATAATAAATAATATTCTCCGATGCCAATCTTGCATGGAGACATAAAATATAATATTCTAAGGCTTTTAAAATTTTTTGTATTACTTATTTATAAAATTTATTAAAACTGAGAACAAATTTTAATAAGTTTATTCCTTACATTCGAATACTTGATCAAACTCCTCAAAACACTATAACAAAAATTGCATTTTCGTAATTGAAATTGAGGAAATGTTTAGAATCTACTGTTATGTGTGTGCATGTATATATAATACGTAAAAACTAATTATATACCATGTCGAATAAATTACTAAATGTGTCTTATTACATTTGGCATACATAGTATTGAGTTTATCTGAGAATATATTTCTCAATAAGATTTTCAATTATATATTTAGTATGAACTAAGTAATTCTTTCTAACTACATAGCACCCTTCGATTTTATTAAGATATTGTATATGCTCCGTAAAGTATTTAAAGAGCTATAAGAAAAAATATCTAATCGCGTTTATATAAAACTAGTAGTTCTCATGCATCTCTTTGTTGATTTCGAATGGTCAGAAAAATATCTAATCGCATTTATATAGAAATAATAGTTCTCTTATTGTGAATATCGTATCAAAAATACTTTGTCTTTGATATGAATTATTAATAACTTTAATATTTATTTAATCATATGATAATTATATATTTCAAGACTAATATGAAATTCAATTGTAAGATTTACTAGGATTATAACAAAAATCGAAGCAAACGTGGCCGTTGGATTAATTAGGAGCAAATTCCATTGATACTGATCTATTGATGGTTGATACATTGAGAAGCAAAAATAACTATATATATATATATATTTATAGATACATTGAGAAATAAAGAAGAAAAAGACTAAGAAAATAAAAAAATGAACTAAATTAAAGTTTTTCAATTTTTACTTATGGTAAATTTACTTGCATTAAAGAAAACAATTTAAGCTCAATTCATCAAATTAAATATTTTTTAATCAAAATAAAATAAAATAAAATCTTAAATCTCCAATGAAGAATTGAATTTGGAGTACTAAAAATTAGTTGATTTTTCATGGGGCTTAAAGGA